TTCAGCCCAGCATGCAGGAAGATAGAGCTGGGGCTTCACCTGGGGAGCTTCTAGGCTCCTGATGTTTCAGTGCCCCCCAGAGATTCTTTGTGACTATGTGGGGCAAGGTTGGGTATCTGATTTGCCAAAGCTGTCCGGGTGGCATGATAGATGCCAAGGTGTAGGACGTGTGCTTTACTGACAGAAAAACTAGCATGGACACCAGCTAAAGAGCTGGGGTAGCCTCTTCTCATCTGCAAACCAGCAAGCTCTTGTCGATAACACCTTCCTCAAAAGATTTCTGTAGAACATAAACAAGGTAATGTTCAATCATGGTTTTCAGTCTTGGTCTGAGTGGTAGAAGCACTTAGGGAACTTTTAAGAACCCTGAGGCCTACGACCCCCTCCAAGGAGCCAACTCAGCTGGCTGGGTGGGCAGTGGGTTGGCCATGGGTGGTTTTCAAAGCTCCCTGTGTCCCTCTACCATGCACTTGGGCAGTGACCCACTGTAGTGTGTGCAAATGCCTCTTCAAGTAACTGTGGACCCTCAAAGTGGGAGCATGTTAGCGGATTTGATATCTTTGGAATCCCTATTCAGAAACCAAGTACTAGCCTAGTCACCTTGTATTTCAATCTAGTAAAGCGATTCTCTCCTAAGGAGTTTCTTGCCTTCATCTTGAAGACTAGCCATTGGCATAGACCATCCTGTGGCTCATCCACTTCCCCCCTCCCTCCACCCCATGATTTACTGTTGCCTCAGTCTGCTTAGTGCTGAGGTGAACAGATTAAGGGGAGCCCGGATGACATGAGGTCGTGGAGACAGAGCCAAGTGTGAGGCCCTGCACACGGACAGGGCCTCCCAGTGGAGGGGATGCATACCAGCTGCCCCATGGGCCCACTGCCAGACGCTGTTCCTGGGCCTCACCTCCATCTCCTCTACAATAAAACAAAATGAGGGTGACAAAGACAGCCTCCCAGGCCATGGGAGGGGCACCATGGGGAAACGCTTAGGAAGTGGGAGTGGGAGGTCCCAAATAAAGTCTAAATGATGGTAGCCAGAGCCCCCAGTGATGAGGGATTAATTATTTTCTCTGTAGATGAGGGATTGCTTTCAGGGAGTGGGAGATGAAATGGCAGCCCCAGTGATGACCAGGAGAGGGAGAGGGAGGAGGTCTTCCTCTCCCCACACACAACGGAGCCCAACTCAATCTAGTTCAAAGCAGTCTGTGATGCTGGAGGTGCTCTGTCAGTTCTTGGAGGTGGCATGGTGTGGTGCAGGGGGGGGCCCCATGCCACTGCCTGGCTCTGGCAGAGGATCCCTGGCTCTCTTTCCATCTGTAAGACAGCAGGGAAAATAGGATGTGATCCTTCTGGAGGGAACATTGTTGGGGACACGGCCTCCACGCTGCCCCCAGACCTCCCCTCTCTCTTTCCTGCACACACTTATGTCAAGAAGACTGACGAAGTGGCACTGGGACGGACATGTCCCCCAGGAACTGGAGAGCTGAATAATTTATCACTCGGGCACTCTGAACTCCGAAAGAACTTCCAGGACTTTCATTTTTTCCCAAATGATCTTGACACCCATGTGCTGTGGCCCTCTCTGGCCCAATGTCTACATCTGTGGTGTTTTTCCTTGCTCAGATAGTGTTTCATAGAGGCAGGTTTGGTAAAATGTATTTCCGTTCTGATAAAATATATTAAAATATATTTCCATTCTAAATAAGTTGGTGCCTGTTTTGAATTAATCGCCATGATGCACAGTAATTAGGTATATATGAATCCACCAGACAGTTCTTCCTTTGGGACGGATGCGCTAATTCCATTTCGTACCATACAGTGGCATATCTATACTGTGCACCTGAACATTTTTCCCAGAAATCAGACTTCCACTTTCTAAAATGTAACTCGAGATTATTCTCTTTAAATTCTGTAGAAGTTGCGGCAGCAGCTCAGAAAACTTGAGTGTGCACAACTAGAGAATTCACTTACTTCCCCAGAATCCAGGCGGAAGCCAAGTAAAACAAGTACGAGGGCCCTTCGGTCAGTGTCTTGGCATTGCAGACTTGGACAGATAATAGTTGCCTCCAAGGATGGGAGTCCAGCTTCAAAGCCTGCTTTGCTAGCTTTGGGATGGGGATTCATGAACTATTTTTCAGAGACTCTTGCTCTCCAGATCTCTCTCTCTCTCTCCTGTCCTGTCTCCTTCCCTCCCTCCCTCTCTCCTCCCCCCCTTCTCACCTTCCTATTTCCTCCCTCTCCCTCCAGCTCTCTGTCTCTCTCCCTGTCTCTCTTCTCTCTGCTCACCCCTCATGGTTCTGCCTGACCCATTTATATTTAGGAATCACTATTTCTATACGTTGAGATCACAGCTTCCTTTCTTTGCCTTCTCTATGTTCCACCCTTAAAAGATTTTATAACTAATAAAGGATTTCTTTTCCTGCTTGCTCCAATCACCACCTCCTTCCATCTGGAGAATTCCAATATCCTGCTGTGTGTAAGTACCTAGACTTACTGCTCTACTGAGGCAGATAGACCTTAGTGATCCCACCTGACTTGTCTTTGCCAAGTTTACTAGAATAAAACAAGAGGCCTCATCACTTCGGATAAAAATGGGCAGATTCTATTTTCAGGCGCAGGGCTTAAAATTAGGCGTTGTATTTTCCCAGTAAGCAGTCACAGAGGTATTTGGGTGAACAAACTATTTAAAAAAAAAAAAAAAACCAACCTTTTACATCTTTCCTTAACTAATCAATGGGCTAGCCTCAACACCCACCCATCTGAACCTATATCTGTAATTCAGACTGCCTTTCTAAACTTGTGGTTTTCAAAGTGTGGTCCCTGGACCAACCTGCGAATTTATTAGGAATAGAACCTTTTGAGCCCTTCCCCAGACAGAGTCAAAACCTGGGGATGGGCCCAGCAGCCTGTTTATGAACCCCTCCAAGTGATTCTGATTCAGAGTGAAGATTGCCGTTGTACCTATGTCTACAATGTTGATGGAAGTTTTTATATGCGATGTTGGCTTTAGAAGAAGTGAAATGGGGGCAGCCTAGCTGGCTCAGTAGGTAGAACTTGGGACTCTTGATCTCAGGGTCATGAGTTCAAGCCCCACGTTGGGCACAGAGCTCTTTTTAAAAAAAGAAAGATGTGAAATGAACCAAAATCAGAAAGCGTGGGTTGAGCCCCTGATAGTCATAACCTACTACACCTCTGTAAATAGGATCAACATCCCCACATTATACGGATGTAGAAAAGCACCGTAAAATGGGTCAAGCTCTTACACAGCTTCAACCAACCATGAATTACTGCGTGCCGGCGTCTCCCTGCGCCACTAGGGGGCGCGCTAGCCTCTCCAAAGCGGTCACCCCGAGAGACAGCGTTTTTGTCTTTGAGGTCCTGTCATTCTCTGTATAAACAAGTTACGTTCAAGTGTTTAGGATATAAATTACGACCATGCCGGCTGCCTCGGAAGGAATGTAAACACAGCACTGTGGTCGGAGCAAACTCTGAAACTGACTTCATAATTTATAGCAGGCCCTTGTGTAGCTCAGTATAAAAGGGAAAAAAGCCCTATTTAACTGCAAATATGATAATGGAGACACAAAAAGCATGTTTAAATCACTGCTTAATTTTGGAAAATATAGAAAGGAAACCTGGGGATTAGGAAGATGGTTAAGACTTTTGAAAACAAGATGTTTTACTAATGAGACGTCTTTGGACTTAAATTTGCTTGGAATACAAAAACCTTCTGTGTGAGATATCTACTGAGTGGTATTAAGTGCCTGGCAACTGATGGGAGGGAAGGGGGTGGAAGACCTTTTAGGGAATGAGAAACAAAGGTGAGTTTTCAAAAGCAAAAGCAAAAACAACAAAATACCAGCCCTCAGTTGGGAAAGAAAACCCGCAGCTTGATCATGGGTTGAGAACTTTCCTGTTCCTGCTCAGATCGACTGTTGCCAAGGCTGCCCATGATTTTGAAGGACTGGTCAAAAAAAAAAAGCTAGTAAAAAGAAAGAAAGAAAGAAAGAAAGAAAGAAAGAAAGAAAGAAAGAAAGAAAGAAAGAAAGAAAGAAAAAGAAAAAACAGTCCTGCTGCCTGGTTGGCTTATTTTCTCTCTTTTGAACCCAGAGCTTTACCAGCCCTGCCTGTAGCATTTGCAATTGGGGAAGCTTGGGATATCAAGCAAGGAAAAGGGGCTCAGAGGGAATCCCTGAAGGGGATCCCCTGTTAAAAGGAAGGAAGGAGCAAGGGGGACAAGGGTGGCAGAGATGGGTGGGGGTTGAAGTGCTCCTGCTAAGCAGGGTTGGCCAGGCTCTGAATTGGGGGGTGGGAACAGCCACAGAACATCTTTTGAGGACGAGTTCCTGCTTCTGTTACCCTCCAAGGAAGTTAAAAGATCCGAATGGTCAGACTGCCCATTACCACTCCACAGCCATCCCCCTCTGGACTCTTTAGGATCTGACCACCACCCACAACAAAATGTGATCAGCACTCATACAAAACTGTGACTTGCAAAGGGAAGCTGGTCCTGTTCTTTGAACACCTACCCCTTGACCGCCACTCAGCCACTCAGCCCAGCCCTAGGTGGTGACTTTCCACTCTGCCCATCACTCCCTGCCGGTGGGGAAGAGGAAGGAGCAAAAGGCAAAACTCTCCTTGGCCACAGGAAAGAGAACAAAAGGGGCACAAAACTTGGTTTCCTCAAATCAGACTCTTGCCTTCATTATCTTGCCTGGTTTTCTTTTAAGTTCCTTTCACCTTCTGGTTTTTGTTTAGCCAGAAGGAGCTAGGGTGAAGGAAAGAAAGAACAGAAAAAGTTCCTTCTTCTCTTTCTCTCCTGAGAAGACCCACAATCAGAACCTGGCCTGTGTTACTCAAGGCACAGACCCCACACCACGTCAATTATACAACTTGGGGAAAAAAACCCCAACAGTGTAGGGTTGCATTGCTAGCTGGTGGAGAAGAGAGACTGGTGACCCCAGGATGCCCGTGGACGAAACAGATCCCTAAAACGGCTATTTGTTATATATATTTTATTGAAAAAATTTTACATCAAAATAGTTTGGCAAACTGTAAAAGTATACATAAGTGCAAATATATCCTCCTTTTAAAATACAAGCAAAGTGTGAGTATACACGAAAATCATAAAAATATCTTTAAAATATGGTGGTAGAAAACAACCTTGTAAAAAAACGTTGTATTGTCACAATACTGAAAACCACTTTCTTAAACTAGACACACTGTTTCTAAATACTTTCTTAATAATGTTCTTTGGCACCTGTGTCCAAACTTAGTGTTTGGCGAAACAGAACTCTCTTACTTGGCTAGGCAACAAGATGAGGCTTTCTTGAAGTCTTGTGCTTAGCACTGCCTTTTTGAAAAGCACAAAAATTTTCATAGACAAAGAAAAACACACACACACAACTGGCGTTTTTCAGACCCTGATGACTGAAGGTAATGAAGATCCCAGAGTTACATGTTTATGTTTTTCATATGGTAACTTTTTACCATCTCTGCTAAAAAGCTGAGTTCTCAGTTGGCTCTCTCCCTTATGGGGGGCCTGCACATATTCGTATTAGGGGCATTACTTTGCCAGGGGTTGTCCTTCTACCAATGGTAGACACGTATCAGTGAACAGCGCTGGCCTGGGGATTCTGGCTAAGTGACTCGTGTGCTACTGCTAGAGCTGTGCATGGTGGGGGAGTCCACCTCAGTTCATTCTGCCCTGCAGAAGAGAGAGCAGAGAGCGGCCTTGGCATGGCCTCCCTCCCTCCATTCACATGACACAGGGCTTAATATCCTGGCAGACACTCTGGTGGTGGTGATGGTGATAATATGGTCCGCTTGCAGAGGGATGGAAAGAAGAAATGCCGTTAAAGTTGAGGACAAAATCTTTCCTGTCACACACCGGGGTAGAGTGATGCTGGTATCGAGGCAGTCCCACTGAAAGAAGGAAGAAAAGAAAAACTCTTCAGAAACACAGTCATCCAGCTGATGATGAGGCATATTACTTTTTAAATTTTAATTTAACTCATGCCTTATTTTGACTCAGGGTAAGAAAGTGTCTTTTGTCTATTGTTATAAAACTGGTAGAGCAAACCCACCTCTAGAAATTTCTCAAAGTTTCAAACTGGGTCGTGGGGCGGGGAGGGGGTCTCCGCAATCACTATGTTCTGTTTTGATGTACCTGCACACACAGAGCAGGATCCTCCTCTAAACCGGGTTCTAGTGTGCCTGAGTTCCCCTTTTATTCCTGGAGCCTCAGGAACGCTTCAATCGCAGGGGTAGATTCCGCGCGGGACCCTTTGACCCACGCTCTCTGTCGGGTGCCCTAAGCGCAGGGCTCCCGGCCCTTGCAGCCAGAGCTCCGGTTGCAGAGGCCAAGTCCCCTGCCCCAGAAACACCACTGTCGCCCTCACTTCTTGTTTTGAGCCTTCTGCCTATTTCTCAACTAACTGGCCCAGTCTGAGTAGCAGGTCACAGCAGGGATATTCATTGTGCCAAAAAAGAGGTGACAGAAAACAATCCCTTTGCAAGACAAAGGGCCTGGAAAGAAAGTACTGGTCGCTCTAAATTCCGAAAGTCTCAGGCTTCCCTTAGAAAGCCCGGCCTCCAGGGAGCAGATAATGCTCTTCGATAAGCGCTCAGCTGCAGACCCTTCCGCACATCTAGGTGTCAGGCAGCGCGGGGAGCCCCTTAGAGAGCTTTGGGATGGCAGAGGGCGGAGAAGGCTCTCACTCCTCTCCGGGGCCTCTCCTCTGCGGAGGCCCAGAGCCGGACCGCTGGGCGCCAACCCGCTGCCGACTTTTGCTTTTGCTTTCTCGGCGCCTCCCGGCCCCGGGGCGCAACTGGCCGGCGGCGTCCAGAGCGCGCTGGGGCCCGGACTTCTCCCGGCTCGAGTCTCTTTCCGCGCCGGGCTCGGTGAGGCCTCTTCGCCTGCGTCTTTTCTAGGTACCCGCGCCTCGTGGGACCGTAAATTGCACGTTGGGGGCCGGGCCGGATTCGATTTTTGAGTGCATGAAAACCGTACTCGCCCGCCCGCGGCGCTCGCGCCCGGCTCTCACCGCCTTGGCCTGGCAGCATCCCAGGGCTTACGGAGCGACCAGGCTGCGAGCGGTCGCTGCCTTGGGCCAAGTTTGTTGCCCGGTAGCACCTATTGTCGCCAAAGGCGCGCCGCATTGCTCTCAGAAGGCAGCAACAGGTCCACGCGCCCCAGGTGTGTGCTTGTTGCTCTGCACACAGGTGCCTTCGCCCATCACGTTACAGCACGTCTCAGTGCCAGTTCTACGAGCTCAAAATAGCGGGCCCAGGCAGGACCCAGAGCCAGAGCTCATAAGCTACGACCGACCGAAGGCCGCCGTCAGCTCTTTGATGTGACCAGAGAGAGATAAAAGCCCTAGCTCCTTCTTGAAAGGCTCACTGTACTAAATGAGGGGTGCGGGACCTCCCTGGGCACGCGGCCCTTGGCCGCCCCATCCCAAGTGAGACCGCGCAGCCCGCGGGGTGTGTTGTGTGTGTGCGTGCGTGTATGCTGCGGGGAACCTTCTCGGACCACAGCCTCGGCCTGCTCGGCCTCCCAGCTCCTCTCTGGGCCACAGGCTCTCGGCGGGCCGCGGTCCACCAGCGGCGCACTCCTAAACAGGCCCCGCCGCGCGCGTGCACCCAGCCTGCTCCTGCTGAGCCCCCACCTCTCATCCGCCTGGGGGATGCCAACTAGGACAGGGGGTAAGAGAGGGATGGGAGCCAGAGGACGAGGGAAGAAGGGGCAGAGCGTCCTGGTCGGGCCTCGCCCCCCATCATGACCTTCCCAGCATTCCCAGGCTCTGCCCAAAGGTCGGGCGAGGCTCCCCGGGAAGGCCGCTCCGGGAGGCCGGCCTGCTCCGGCTCCGCCGTTTTCGTTCTCCAAGTGTTGTGTTTCTGGATCCTCGAATTTCTGGGACTTGTGCGTGAGCTCGGGGGTGTTGGGTGGGGCGAGGGCGGCCTCAAAGAACAATCATAAGTCTCTTTCTTTCTTGCGAGTTCTTTTGTTTTTAATTTTTCGGTACTGTTTCAGGGCAGCTGCAAAACCTCGAAGTCTGGGTTCAAACTGAGTAGAGCCTGCTTGGAGAAGGGGAATGGGTAACACTAGGAGGGCAGCGGGCAGAGCGGGGAGAGGAGCGTGGGCAGGAGAGTGGGGGAGTGGGCACCGCCTGGGGTGAGCGGTGATTGACAGCCAGTCCCAGGGGATTAAAAAAAAAATGAGAGGGAAAGGTCGTCTGTATTGGTTACTTGTTGAAATTCCCATAAAAATTGAACAAGACTCTGCTCTCAGTGGGTTAAGTCAGGCTAAAATCCTCTCCGGTGTGGTCCTGCCGAGACTGTCTTTGTTTAGTTAACCTCTGAGACCCGCATTTAAAAGGCCTATTTGGGAAATTTCACCGTCCAGGGAACCAACATCTTTTGCCCATTTCTGGGCTTCCCGCCTCTGCTGCGGCTCTTGTTGCACACTGATTCCCAAACATATAACGTGTGCATCATCCTCTGAACCTTTTTTCTAATTGGGGTGGAATGTAAGTGTGAGCTAGAACATCATTTGATAGGCAGATTAGCCTGATTTTAATCTGCAGCCTGTGGGTGCTTCAGAGAGGTTAATATGAGAGAATTTATCTGTCCCATAAACCTGGTTAAATATTCAAATTCCCTCTTCCACCCATATCTGTCCCCTCCCACCTTTCATCGCCTTTGGCAAGCCAATAAATTTTCATAATCTTCAACCATCAAAATTTACACCAGCAACACAAGTGAAGTCCAAGAGTCAAGTATTTCTCAGGGGATCACAACGTGGGCCTCAGGTCCTCCTGGCCTAGGACAGACTCATGTCCTCAACATAGGTCCACTGTGTTGGGAGGCAAGGGACTCCTCAAAAGGCTGGTGCCCCTCTCCACTAGTGACACCTCCCTCCTGTGAAAGATCCTGGGTCCCCGCTCTGCTTTCTGCTCTGCCCCTCCCTCATTTCCCCTCCTCTCAACTCTTGCCCAGTTGCAAACCCTCCCCACCCACACCCTCAGCATACAGAACATCTTTTCTGACGTTTACTTTGGGAGGAAAGTAACAGCAAACAAACACACACACACACACACACACACACACACACACAAAGGGAAGCAGACACAGCTCCTTTGCCAGGCACCCCAAAGACCACATGCCTTCTCTCTAAGCTAAGTCGGGCCTGAGACTTGAGACCTGCCGTCCATAGGGACACCCTGGGACCCTAGGAAGGCAGGCGACTTTGCACCATCCTCCTGGCAGTGCAAATTCTGGAGGCCCAGCTCTTGGCTAAGGGTATGAGAGAGGGCAGTATGACCTCAATCCTCTCCCCTCCATGAATAAGATTCCCGCTTCCCCCAGCACCCACTCCTCCCAGTGCCCTCAGACTCCCAGGCTGCGGCGACCCTGTGGAAGTTGCAGTAGCCATGGAGCCTGGAAGCCTAGAGGCGCGCACTGCGTTACCTGAGAGGTCCTCGCGGGCGTTCTGGTGCAGGTAGCTCTGCTCCAGCGAGTAGGAGGACATGCTCGAATGCAGGCCTGCCGAGGCCGCGGGGTTGCTGCTTGGCGTCAGGGAGGGCGGCTGCTTGAGGTAAGGCGAGGCGCCGGGCGAGCTCCAGTGCGCCGCGGGGCTCGTGTAGGGAGAGTGGCACTCGATGGCGCTCGCCATGGCTGGGGACGAGGGCACTGGGCTGCTGCTGCTGTCCGGGCCGTAGTCCCCTCCGCCGCCGCCCCCAGCCGCGCCGACACCCCCAGGCCCGGCGGGCACGGGGCAACTGGCCATGTAGGTGGAGCCCGGGTTGGGCGACATATGCGGGACGTGGTGGTGATGGTGGTGGTGCGGATGCGCGTGGCCCGGGGCGCCGGTGCTGGCGTCGTAGCCCGCGGGCATCATGTCAAGGCCGCCGTAGCCGCCCTGCCCGTGGCAACCGAGCGGCGCCGATGGGGGCGGCTGGAAGTCGAAGCCCTGTGGCAGCAGCGAGGCGCCGAAGCCCAAGCCGCTCACTACGCGGTGGTACATGGGCTTGAGCGCCTGGCATTTCCGCCTGAAGCCGCGCGGCCGGCGGCGGAACGAGCCCTCCTCGAACATGAACTCACTGGCCGGGTCGATGGTCCAGTAGTGACCCTTGCCGGGTCGCCCGAGGCCCTTGGGCAGCTTGATGAAACACTCGTTGAGCGAGAGGTTGTGGCGCACGGAGTTCTTCCAGCCCTGGTAGGAGCCGCGGAAGAAGGGGAAGCG